CCAAAGCAGTATCTAACTAGCCTAAGAGGCTAAGCTTTGTTCTGGTCTTCCAATTCAGTCTGTCACTAAGCTGCTTTTCTGTTAACCTGACATTTGACAATTGGTTTAATGAAAGCTTGTGGGAAAGAAAGGAAAAATTAGGAAATGAATAAATTTTTTAAAACCTAAAAAATGTTTAAGCCCTATTGATAAACCATAAAACTATTAGCTCTAATTCCATTGCTGTTATTGTTAATTTGATCTATAGAGAGTTAGTCATTTAAGGCATTTTTTCTATGGGAGATCACTGGTAAAATGTACACAATTTTCCTATGTTCATGTATGAATACATAACCAGTGAAACTCCACATCATGTACAACCACAAAAATAGAATCCTAATCAGAATAAGTTATACTCCATGTATGTAATAATATGTCAAAATACACTCTACTGTCACATATATCTAAAAAGAACAAAAAAAATCTGTGAACAAAGAAAGAATTGTTCTACCTGCAAGTGCTGGAAGAGAATGGCATGCCCAGGGAATGCATAGAGGCTCTGTGCCCCTTCCCCCATATCTTATCCCATACATATCTTCCATTTGGCTGTTCCTGAATTATATCTTTTTGTAATAAACCAGTAATCATAAATTTAAAAAACTGTTTTTTCTGTACAGTTGGAAAAAAAAGGTACACATGTTTTAATGAGGACAAAATGAGGTGTATATGTGTAAGAAAAAAATGAGGAATGAAATGTAGCCTAACCATACTGGAAGAATTTTCTATTTCTTTCTTCCCTCCATCCCTTCTCTCTCTCTCTCTCTCTCTCTCTTTCCTTTGTCCATTATTTTCTAGTTGTTGCATTAGAAAACAGTAAACTCAGCCTGAATGGAGTAGAACAAATCTGATTTGATAAGGGTTTGCAGGAAGGAGCTAGGAAAATCTGGGTTCTAGGGAAAGGCCAACTCAGAGCACTTCTGTTAAATTATCTGAATAAAAACTGCACAATGTGGGTTTTCAGGAGCCTGACATAATTTCTATTGCAAGTACAGTAGAGCTCTACTCATTTCACAACTTTGCTCATGGTAGAAAGGACTGTTTTATTTTATTAGTTAGTTGATTTATTAATTATTTTAATTAATGAATAAAAATTATACATGCTTATGGTATTTATTTATTAATTTAGGCTGAGAATTGAACCCAGGGATGATTTGCCACTGAGCTACATCCCCAACCTTTTTAATGTTTTATTTGAGAGAGGGTCTCTATAAGTTGCTGAGGTTAACCTTGAACTTGTGATCCTTCCTCAGCCTCTGGAATTACTGGGGTTACAGATGTGTGCCACTGTGCCTGGCTGCAGTATGATGTTTTGAAGTTACAGCTCACCTCTGTTACCTTCAAATGGCTAGTATTTTTAATTCTGGAAACTGCTCTGAAGTTAGTTATAAATGATAGATGAATAAAAATGAACTTATTAATTTACTTTTTGTATTTCTTACAGTTACGGCTAGTTTACATTTTTGGTATAATGTGCTATCTCAACTGCCATACAAATAGTTTTGTCCCAAAGAGAAAATGTACCATTCCTCATTTTATGCACAAAATAGACTAGAGATTTCTAACCAGTATTCTTCAGGTATGATCCTGAAAACTATCAAACACAAAATGTTCACTATGCAAAAAGTGTTTGGAATATGGTGGGCATGAAAAAATAATTGTTACTAAAATGAATATTTGTTTATGGTTTTTTTTTGTGTGTGTGTGGTGCTGGGGATCAAACCTAGGGTTGTGCATGTGAGGCAAGCGCTCTACCAACTGAGCTATATCCCCAGCCCCTGTGTATATGTTTGTAACAAAGGAGAAGAGTGAATAGAAGGGGAAAGGGAATAGTCACATTAGGTGAGCTTTCAAAATGTAGGCAAGGATGGGATCAGTGACAAAGAAAGAGCCAACACAAATTTTTGATCCTATTTTCTTCACTATAACAATTACTTTTCATGTTACAACAGTGCTCCTAATTTATAGTGTTACTGCCCTGCTGCCATGGCCTATTTTCCTACTCCTAGGGCAAAGAGTAATCTAACATCCTAATGACTAATAAGTTACCAGTAAAGCTATTTTTAGCCCTAGGAAGCTTGGAAAGAGGTTAGTGAAACTTGGACCTAGCCAGAGCTGATATAGTAGATGGCAGATACTTAAGTGTGCCTTCCTTAAAGACACAGAAATATAAGTAGCTTAACTAAGGCCTTAGTAACAAATAGGGAAGAAGCAAAGGGAAAGACACACAGAAAACTACTGTTAGAGAGAGAGAATATTACATCATCTGGCAAAATGAGAAAAGTTAAAAAGAACAAAGGAAGCTCAAGTTGGATACTAAAATTGTTCTAGTCATCAAACATATGGATTAAATTACTTTATCAAATAAAGAGGAAGAAATCTTTCTGGTAAAAATATCATTTTGTTTAAAAGTATGCAGTGCTTCAATAGCTAAACTGTGGAGCCAACCTAGATGCCCTTCAAGTGGATGAATGGATAAAAAAAATGTGGCATATATACACCATGGAATTTTACTCAGCAATAAAAGGGAATAAAATCATGGCATTTGCAGGTAAATGGATGGCGCTGGAGAAGATAATGCTAAGTGAAGTTAGCCAATCCCAAAAAACAAATGCCGAATGTTTTCTCTGATATAAGGAGGCTGAATCATAGTGGGGTAGGGAGGGGGGAGCGTGGGAGGAATAGATGAACTCTAGATAGGGCAGAGGGGTGGGAGGGAAAGGGAGGGGGCAGGGGATTAGCAAGGATGGTGGAATGTGATAGACATCATTTTCCAAAGTACGTGTATGAAGACACGAATTGAGTATCAAAATACTTTATATACAAAGATATGAAAAATTGTGATATATGTGTGTAATAAAAATTGTAATGCTTTCCAATGTCATTTATTTTTTAAACATCAATAAAAAAGAGTATGCAGTGCTTAACATGATTATTTCAAAGATAATAAGTTAAGATGAAGTATAGGAAATCTATTTAAAAGGGATTGTTTAGGGCTGGGGATGTGGCTCAAGCGGTAGCGCGCTCGCCTGGCATGCATGCGGCCGGGGTTCGATCCTCAGCAACACATACAAACAAAGATGTTGTGTCTGCCGAAAACTAAAAAATAAATATTATCTCTCTCTCTCTCTCTCTCTTAAAAAAAATAAAAGTAAACTAATTTATTAAAAAAAAATAAAAATAAAAGGGATTGTTTAAAGTGAGAAAAATATTGTTGCTAGGAAATGCACCAAACACTAACAAAGGAAATGCACCAAACACTAAATTTTGACCTGACAATTTCATGTTTAAAACTTGTTCTAACGTAGTCCTCTGTTTTATGCACAAAGGAATATGTGTAACAGTGCTCATTATACCATTATTTGCAATACCAAATGATAGGAAACACTCTAAGTGTCCAATTATAGGGAATCAATTACATAAATTATGGCACATCTATGAGAAGTGATATACAAGTATATTATTGACACAGCATGAGATTCAAATTATTTAGTGTAAAAAAATTAAGTTACAATGTCCCAGTATAACCAGGTACAGTGGTGCATGCCTGTAATCACAGAGATTTTGGGAGACCATAGCAGGAGGATAACAAGTTCAAGGCCAACCTTAGCAACTTAGTGAGACCCTGTCTGAAAATTAAAAAAGTAATAATAATAATAATAAAAAAAATAAAAAGTGCTGATGATGTAACTCAGTGGTAGAATGCGCCTGGTTTCAAACCTCATTACCTAAAAAAAGTTCCACATGTATAGTATGGGCTCATTTTGAAAAGATTATATATTTTATGTAGGCATATGAATAGAAAAGCACTTGGAAATAAAGATAATAAAATGTCAATGTTAGTAATGATTATCTCTGGATAACAGGCTTAGGGATAATTTTCATTTAATCTGTTTTTAACTTCTGTGTTTCACAAGAACAAAAATGTGTTATATGTATGGCAGTTTAGTTAGAAATTCTTTCCTCTTTTGTAGAAGAAGCCAGTAGAGTTTTTAATGGTTAAATATTGTCAATTAGTGTATAAAAATGTCCATGCATCCACATCACACTGTAGGTAGACAGAATATCTGTTAGATGAAATTTATAGATTAATTCCCTACTCTGTTCTATTGAAATATTTGTCTATTAATTGCCAATATCACAGTATCCTGATTACTGTAGCTTTTAGATAAGTGTAGAACTTGGATAGTATCACTTATAATACTTTTTTTCCTTCAATATTATGATTGCTTTTCTGAGTCTTTTGCCCTCTCATATATACTTTAGAAACCATTTGTTGCTACCTAAAAAATACCATTTTGGAAAAAAATACCATTTTGGGATTTTGGCTGGAAATACAATGAGAAGAACTTATATCTTGCCTATATTCAGTTTTCTTATGCATGTATATGTAACATATGTCCATTTATTTAGTTCTTGATTTCTTTCATCAGTTTTAGAGTTTCTGCATATAAATTGTGTACATTTTGTTATATTTATATGTATTTTTAACTGCTAATATTAATAGTGTTGTGATTTTAATTTTAAATTCCAAATGTTTTTTGCTGAATTATAGGAAAGCAATTGACTTTGTACATTAACTTTTTATCTTACAACCTGTCTCTACATACTTGTTAATTCCAGAACTTTTTTTATGTTTTGGAATTAGATAATCCCAGACCTTGGATTAGATAGACAATGATAGACATGATTAGATAGACAATTATGCCATTATAAATTAAGAGAGTTCTTTGATTTGAATACCAACAGCTTTAATCTGTGAACTGCATTCTTAGCTAAAATTGAAACTAGTTTCATCCTTGTTTGTTGTATTATGTCCATGCAGGAAATGTAGTCACAAACAGTACCTCAAAAATTATCGGTTTAAGAGGGTCATGGCAGCCCGTCGCACCTGACAGTGGGAGGCAGTGCCTCCCTTTCCCTTCCATGGGCAGGAGAGTTAGATAGCCACCAAAGAAAACATCATGAAAGATACAGATATCAAGAGACTACTGTATACCCATCTTTTATGCATATTTTCAATCATCCTAAGCATCTTCATTCCATCAGTATTCTTGGAGAACTTTTCAATATTGGAAACACACTTGATGTGGTGGTGCATCTATTCTGTTTTTGTAACTGCTGTCAATGTAGTATTATATTTGGTAGTGAAACCAAATGTATTTCTAAAAGAAATTCATTATCACCTAAGGTAACCAGAATTTTTATTTATTTATTTATTTATTTTTAATTTTAATTTTTTAAAATTTTTTATTTTTAGTTGTTCAAAATATTACAAAGCTCTTGACATATCATATTTCATACATTTGATTCAAGTGGATTATGAACTCCCATTTTTACCACGTATACAGATTGCAGAATCACATCGGTTACACATCCACTTTTTTACATATTGCTATACTAGTGTCTGTTGTATTCTGCTGCCTTTCCTATCCTCTACTATCCCCCCTCCCCCTCCCCTCCCCTCCCATCTTCTTTCTCTACCCCATCTACTATAATTCATTTCTCTCTCTTGTTTTTTCCCCTTTCCCTTCACTTCCTCTTGTATGTAATTTTGTATAACAATGAGGGTCTCCTTTCATTTCCATGCAATTTCCCTTCTCTCTCCCTTTCCCTCCCACCTCTCATCCCTGTTTAATGTTAATCTTTTTCTCATGCTCTTCCTCCCTGCTCTATTCTTAGTTGCTCTCCTTATATCAAAGATGACATTTGGCATTTGTTTTTTAGGGATTGGCTAGCTTCACTTAGCATAATCTGCTCTAATGCCATCCATTGCCCTGCAAATGCCATGATTTTGTCATTTTTTAGTGCAGAGTAATATTTTGAAATGTTGCATCTACTTTCTTATGTCTTGCTTTTCCTTTCATGTGATTTTTGTTCTATATGGAGCACCACTAATAGAGTTTGTGTTGGAAACATTTTTATTTGCAGTTCTTTTGTCTACTTTTACTATCATACCTTGTTTATGTTTGTTAGGATCAAACCTCAAAGCATGGCTAAGAGTTTTCAGGAGAAATGGAGTGACATCTATTTGGGAGAATAGTCTCCAGATCACTACAATTTCTAGTTTTGTAGGAGCATGGCTTAGAGCATTTCCTATTCCACTGGATTGGGAAAGACCATGGCAGGTATGGCCCATCTCTTGTATGCTTGGAGAGACCTTTGGCTACGTGGCTGGCCTTATTATTTCACCACTCTGGATATGCTGGAATAGAAAGCAACTTACGTACAATAACAATTAATTAGAGCAAAGGAGAAGATATTTCCTTGTGTAGATTCCACAAAGTCTGTGCAGAAATGGATGAGGTCAAAAGCAGTTTCATTTACAGCCCTGTTTTTTTAATGTAGTTTCAACATGATGTGATTGTAGCTTTTTAAACTATGAAACCCCTGAGATTGTACCTTCTACTTGAAATAAAGTATTTATAATCAAAAAAAATTATGGGTTTATCTTCCTTTCTAGAATAATTGTATTAACTAGGACTTCCAGTACAATGTTAAATAAGGGTGTAGTGAGCATATATCTCACCTTCTTCCAAATCTTAGGGTATAGTATGTTGTCAGATTTGTTTTTGTTGTTTTCTAATCAAGATGAGGAAGTTCCCCTCTATTTTTAGTTTGCTGAAAGTTTTATTTTTAAGTCATTAATATGTATTATATATTAATGTTAGATTTTTCCAGATACTTTCATTAATAATATTATGTGATTCTGATTTTTCTTCTTTAGACTGTTGATGCGATGGATTTCATTAATTGATGTTTTATGAGATAGGGTCTCATAATGTGTTCCAGGCTGATCTTGAACTCTTGGGTTCAAGTGATCCTCCTGCTTCAGCCTCCAAATAGCTACTATAGGTACATGCCTCTGTGCCTGGTTCCTAATTGATTTTTGAATGTTGAACCAGCCTTGTATACACATAATAAATCTCATTTTGTTCTTGTGCATCATTTTTTAATACACTGTAGGATTGATTGATCAATATTTTATTAAGGAATTGTATCAAGCATTCATGAGAGATATTAACCTGTATTTTTCCTTTCTTACAATGCCTTTGGTTTAGGCCTTGTGATCGTAATGGTTTTATGGAGTGAGTCAAGGATATTCTCTCTTCTATTTTCTAAAAGAGACTGTAAAGTATTGATATCATTTTTTTTTCCTTCAGTGTTTGATAGAATTCCCTAGTAAATCAGTCTGGGCTAGGTTCTTTCTGTTTGGAAGATTACTATTTATTGATTCAATTTCATTAATAGATGCAGTTATATTTAGGTTATCCTTGAGTTGTAGTAAGATTGTATCTTTCAAGGTCTTGGTCTATTTCATCTAGATTTTTAAGGTTTGAGGCATGAAATGTTTACAATAGTCCATTATTATCCCTTTAATGTCTGTTCGAACCAATAGTAGTGGCTCCTCTTTCATTTTTGATGTTAGTAATTTGTGGTTTCTCTCTTTTTATCTGGTTAGAGGATTATCAACTTTATTTCTTTTAAGAACCAGCTTTTGGGGATGTTGTTTTTTCCTATTGATTTCCTGTTTTTCAGATTCAGTTACTTCTGCTCCAATTTTTATCTCTTTTCTTTGGCTTACTTTGAATTTAAATTGCCCCTCTTTTTTAGCGTCCTAAAGTTGAAGTTTAGATTATTGATTTTAGATTGTTGTTCTTTTCTAATATACACTTTCAATACTGTAAATTTCTCTACAAGCACTGGTCTCATTGAATATTGAAAATTTGGTAATTTGTATTTTCATCTATTTAACAACATTTAAAAGTTTCTGTTGAGATTTCGTCTTTGATCCATGTGTTATTTAGAAGTGTGTTGTTTAATTTCCAAGTGCGTAGGAGTTTTCAAAGTAATCTTTCTATTATTGGTTTCTAGTTTAATTTGTTTGTGGTCTGAGAGCATACTTTGTATGATTTTTATTTTGAAAATTTGGTTAAGTGTGTTTTTGTTGCCTGGAATGTGGTTTTTCTTAGTGAATTTTCATTTAGCTTGAGCAGAATGTGCATTCTGCTATTGTTGAATGAAGTATTCTATAGATGTCAATTAGATCCAGTTGATTGATGGTGCTGTTTGGTTCAAGTATGCCATTGCTGGTTTTGTAATTGCTGGATCTGTCAATTATACAGAGATGTTGGGAGTACTCAACTATAATAGTGGATTCATCTATTTCTCATTGCAGTTCTATTTTTGCCACATGCACTTTGATGCTAAGCTGTGAGGCACATACACACTAAGGATTTTTATGTCTTTGAGAAGAATTGACCCTTTTATTTTTATGTAGTGACCCTCTTTATCACTCAAAATTTCCCTTGCTCTGAAGCCTCCTTTTTAGAAATTCATATATGTATCTAGGTTTATTTTTATTAGTGTTATCAGAGTATATCTTCCTTCATCCACTTAATTTTAATCTATCTCAGTCTTTACATTTAAAGTGGGTTTCTTGTAGATAACATATAGTTGGTCTTTTTCTTAATCCACTTTCACAGTCTCTGTCTTTTCATTCATATATTTGGACTGTTCACATTTAAGGCAATTATTGATATAATTGGATTAATAGCTAACTATATTTATAATTCTTATCTATTCATTGCACTTGTTCTTTGTTTCCTTTTTGTGGTCTTGTACTCTTTTTGAATTCTTTGTTATTTTAAAAGAGGATTAATAAAACATTCACAGGAAACTCTAGAGGGGACTCAAACAAAGTATGGGAATTTGAGCTGTGTGACCCTTTTCAATTTCCAGAATGCAAGATTTTTAATTAGTGAAACATCCACAAGTTATTTGTAGGCATAGTCAAGATAATTATAATAGGTCTCTATATTGAAAGTACCATAACCATATTTGTAATAGCTTGATTAACAAGACCTTGAGATTTTATTTATTCTGTGTTTCAGAGTTGTGGTCTCAAAATTTTAGTCCTAGAAACCTTTTTTTTTTCAACTTATTTTGTTCAGGGCTGGATTGGGGCTGAGAGGAGAGGGTATAGAGGGCAGGTCTCAGAAAAACTGGCTCATGTTGTCCAAAATCACCAGAGAATTTGTACTAGAAATCCAGTTGAATAATTTATAATAAAAAAATGGAACAACCAAGAGGATTACTTCTTTTGGCTGTCAATATTGTTTTGAAAGGAAGCAAACCAAATGGATATCCTAAGGTTGATTGATAAATAAATAATGCTGTTGATCAGGGAAAGAATTCTAAAAATTAACCAGAATTTTTTTGTTATCCATCTGGGCATTCCCATATATGTCTGTAGATAAAAACTGTTCCAATTACATCTCAAGCTGCTCCTTTAAAACTATCTCAAGGTGCTCCTTGAGTCCTGAGGTTTTCTAATGATATGAACACTCATATAAGGATTCCTAATTATTTCAGCCTCGAGAAAGGCTATTTTTTTTCTGTTAATACACTATCTTCTAATTCCCTTGAATCAAGAAGTTTTAAGTTTATTTCATTATTCTGACAATATTGGAGTACAGATTTCACCTTCTAGAACAGGAAAAAGGATTAATTCAAAATACCAGTTATGTTCAGTACCAAATATTGCACAACAGAATCAGAATCAAGCCCCACAAGAATGCAGGATTTGCTTTGGAAAAGTCTTATAATTAGATTTAAATGCATTAGGTTTAGTAGTTAGATTTAAGTGAAAATTTTGAGGTACGTGAAGAATAGTCATGATGCTAATTTAGGAATAAAAATTCCTTCTGTGCATAAAAAAGGAGCCAGATCTTATGCTGAGCTATTATAACCTTTATCCAATAAAAATGAAAACTACATAGACGACTTAAAGGGGATAAATTTTATTGGCTTTTTTGTCAGTTGTTTGAAGTTGTTTTTAAAAAGGGAGATCAAAATTAGACATTAATTTGAATTATTATTTGCCAAAGTTGTAGAAAGATGAATTTGGTTTGTTATGGGGTATAAAACATTATTTTTCAATCTTTAGTTCTCATATCTGGGTATTCAAGAAACAATTAATCTTTCAAGTTAAGAAGGTGAAAGTAAAAACAATAACACCAAACCAAGGTAATAGTGGTTATTCAGGAACAAATATGGTAATTTTTGTTTACCTATAGTGCAATAAAACTGGGCAATAACAAGCCCTTAGCTTACATTTCTCTTTGAATAATCAAGAATACAACATTCTGTGTCCAAAGGACATTTTTCCATCAGGATAACTTATTTTCTAAGCTAGAATTATTGACATGCAAAACATTTCCTAGTTCAAGTGACTAGCTTTCAAGAGAAAGGTCCTTATGTATACAAAATTAAATGTCACTTGAGCAAATGTTCCATGTAAAATCTGTTTTATAAATTTCAGGTTACGCTTTTGTAATTTAAAATATATATATATATATATATATATATATATATATATATATATATTATTGTGATTTAATAGGGTTATCATGGAAGGGATTTTATGACGTGATTATATATAGTGCAGAAAAAAGTGAAGTAATGAACAGATGAATGAGGAGTTAGAAAATGTCTTTTGATTCGTCTAGAGTAACAGAGATCTGGAATGGATCAAAGAAAATGTTTTGGATTTGGCCTCTCAGAAACACTTCGCTATTTTTGTATCATGCAAAGCCAGTCTAACCCAGGTTGTACACTTAAAGTAGAATAGAATAAGTGAGCTTCTGTTCTTACTTCTAGTGCTATGGTGCCTACTAAAAAGGGCCCACAAATTTACATTGCTCTGAGATCTAATCTCACTTTTCAAGCCTCTGAATTTTTCACCATTGGAGTTAGTCACTAAAGGTAAATCCGGAGAGAGAGATTTAATTATCTTAAAAGGCTAATTAAAAGCACAAATGCAGGGCTGAGGCTGTGGCTGTGGTAGAGCGCTTGCCTAGCATGTGTGAGACACTGGGTTTGATCTTCAGCACCACATATAAATAAATGAATAAAAATAAAGGTCCATACATATAATTTTTTTTTAAAAAAAGCACAAATGCAAAATCATGTTTCTAGAATGAAAAACTGGGAGATTCTATAAGCCAGAAAACCAAAGTTTGTTATCAGTTAAACACATAAAATCACTTGTGTTTATTCTGGAGGCTAAAATATAGAATGTTCTTTAAGATTAGAAATGATTTTTTAAGATACAGAAGACATAATGGTTGAACAAAGTAAAAATTTAAGTGTATCATGAAAGAGAGTTTAGATAGCTGATGAGGTTTGAAAGGACTGTTGGCAACCAAAGGAATGTGTGTGAAGACTGTGGCATGTTAATGCCACAGGGTATTATATTGCCATTAGGAATTACAAACACGAAGGTCCTTCTAATGTTGATATGCTAAAATACTATATAATATTCTTTAGATGTTCTTCTAACTAAAACCATAGGCTTTAGGCCATAATTCATGTGTTCACCTAACTTAAGAATTTAAGTATGCAGTTTAATTAAACCTGGTTTTTAAAATAAACAAATAAATCATTAAAAATAAACCCTTGCTGCTGCTTTCCCCCCTTCTCTCCATCTCCTCTCCTCTCCTTTCTCTCTCCATATATTTATATGTGTGTTAAGAACACTTAACCCAAGATCTGCTGTCTTAAAACAGTTTTTAAGTGTTTATCAGATCTCTAAAACCTATTTATCCTGTATTTTCAAACTTTTGGGTTTTTTTTTTGGTACTGGGGATTTAACAGCAGTACTTAACCACTGAGTCACATCCTTAGCCCTTTTTATTTTATTTTTTTAGAGACAGCTTAGTCTCACTAAATTTTATTTACAGACAACTTAGTCTAAGTTGCTTGGGGCCTCACTAAATTACTGAGGCTGGTCTTGAACTTGTGATCCTCCTGCCTCAGCCTCCTGAGTTGTTGGAATTATAGTCATGTGCCACCACACCTGACCTGCATTCTGAAACTTTATACCTGAAAACAATCCAGCAGAATAGTATAGCAAATTAAGAACATGTATTGTAGCATCAGACTGCCTGGGTTTGAACCTTGGTTCTGATGCTTCCTAACTATCTGATATTGGGCAAGTTACTAAACCTCTCTGTGGTCATGTAGGGAGAGAATGTTACAGGAACCTCAACAGACAACTAATCAGTTTCTAATTCATCAAAATAGGGATAATAATGCAGTTATAAGCATTAAATGAATTGGTACAGGTTAAGCATGTAAAACAGTGTATAGCACAAAGTTAGAGTTCATTAAATATTATATACTGTCATTTAAAGATATAATTTCCAACCTCAAGGAGTTGATGATTCCAGAAGGATCGCTCCAATTTTGGAGAAAATACTGAGATATGAAAAAAATTGGGAAAATAAGTACTAACCAACAAATGCATGAGAAACAAAAGAAGAACAAATTCATTTTGGCTTTGCAGGTAACTGAAGTTTCTTTGTTTTTTCTCTTCTTCTTCTCCTTCTCCTTCTCCTTCTTCTTCCTGGGAATTGAACGGGAGTGGGGGAGAGCCTAACAACTGGGTCACATCTCCAGGCCTTCTTACTTTTATTTTGAGACAAGGTCTCACTATAATGCTTAGGGCCTCACTAAATTGCTAAGACTGGCTTTGAACTGTGATTCTCCAACCTCACCTCTAGAGCCACTGGGATTTCAGGCTTGTGCCACCATGCCCAGCTGATTGAAGGTTTTATGGTACGTTTCTATATGGGAAGAGTAGAACTGTGAGTGAAAATGAGAACACAGACAAAAGCTTGGAAGTAGGAATAATTAGGTTACATGAAATAGAATTTAACTGTGGCTTATTGGACATCATTATCCTAAGTACATGTATGAAGATACGAATGGTGTGACTCTACTGTGTATACAATCAGAGATGTGAAAAATTATGTCTATGTGTGTAATATGAATTGTAAAGCATTTTGCTGTCATATATAACAAAATAAAATAAAATAAAATAAAGAATTTAACTGTGGCCTTAATTTGTTCTAATTCTTTTAAAATTGAGAATCCATGTAGTAAATAAAAATCAATATATTTAAGTAAGAAAACCATCTCTGGATACTTTAAAATGACACTTCACTATATATTTTTAAAGTAAAACTTTAATATAACATCTCATTTGAGGTTTACAATTGCCCTATATGGAAAGCCAAACAAATATTTCCCGTTTTACAAATGAGAAAGTTCACGTCATATCCTAAATTTACACAAGTATCATATAGTAGAAACCAGGTTAGCATCTAGGTTTTCTGGCTTCCAGTGTAGTGCTATTCTCACACACTGTGCTACTTGCCAAATAACAGAAGGCTTAGTAAATGAGAAATAAGAACTGAATTTTATGACAATTATGCTTGATCTTTGTTTCAAGTAAGGGAAAAGCAGTATAAAGCAAAAGTGTAAGTACTTCCAAGTCTCACGTATATTAAACAAAAATCCATGGATACCAATTATTACTATGCCTTAGAGCCCCCTTATATTTATGTTTTGTGATTTTTTTCCAAGGGACTGCCACATTAGAAGATATATATAAATAATGTACATGTGACAGATTTAGATAGAATGTCTCCTTTCATAGTTTTCCCTTTTTCTTCACTATCATAATTTATTTCTTCTGAGGTAATGTGCCTTTTGAACCCACAAAGTCAAGGAACATACTGCACTTCAGCAAAAGCTTGCCCATGAATATTGTAGCTATAACCAAGTTGTTGTCATGGGTGTAAGAACAAAGCTTCCAGTTTAATATAAAAATCACTGTAAATAAATCTTTGATATTCCTGTCAACATGCCAATAAAAGTAAAAAGTATGAAATAATAATAAAGTTTATAATTAACTTTCACCCATAAATACATATCATAGAACAAATTCACCTACATATATTTATATGTTTATACATAATATATGCACGTCTTGAAAGAATTTGTAACGTGGACATTCAAAATTTTCTTCAGAAATTCCTTGTAGTTAATTTTGATCCTAGTAATAATCATGTAGGAAAGTAGATCCCCTTTCTGTTTCTTCAGATAAATTTTTAATTACTTTCTGTTCATATACAGGAGTGCTAGTTGTCTGGCTTTTTTTTTTTTTTAAGAGAGAGAATATTTTTAATATTTATTTTTTTGGTTTCGGTGGACACAACATCTTTGTTGGTATGTGGTGCTGAGGATCGAACCCAGGCCGCACGCATGCCAGGCGAGCGCGATACCGCTTGAGCCACATCCCCAGCCCTGTCTGGCTTCTTAAGGAAGGATTATATGTCATGTATGGAGAGAATGTTACAGGAACCTCAACAGGCAACTAAAAGGCCATCATTCTCTTTGTGGACCTGAGGCAGGGGGAGAAGAATATTGGAGACATGCTGATCTTTGATCAGATATATTTTCCTCAGTTTCCAAAATGTACATTGCACAGAGCATTTTGGGTCATTTGGCTGAACACTAGCACGTTCTAGAACGTGTACATTCTCTTCTGGAAAAAGTGGCTCTACTTTGCTTCTCTACTCAGTACTACAAAGGAGGAGGCTAACAGTACGTTTTGTGCAACTCTTGGGTCATCTCCAGTTCTCATCTGATGGCATGCAAGCAAAGGAATATGTTAGGATGATTGAGAATTATTTGGTGATTTTATATCTTAAAAGTGTAGCCCTTATCCTTTGTAAAGCTTTTATTTGTGGAGGAAAACCTTGATCTCAGATCCATGTTTTACACTCCAAAAAGCACAAATATTCTCTACCTTTTGGTGAATGGTCAAACAACCGTTTATAATTTAGCCTTTAGCTGTGGGTTGAATTCTTAACACTTAAAATATCTGATAATGTGATGCATAAATGAGGTAGATTAGGAGGCACACATAGTTAAATATTTGCAAATTGTTAATGGAAATTTTTATTTTTATTGTAAATGATTTTAGAAAATGTTTGGGAAACTCTTCATTGGTTTACACTGGATATGGGTTTAAATTCTTCTTTACATATTTCTTCTCCTTTTTCTGGAAAGGAGGCCTTCTTCTTGGGTACATAAGTCATGCTGGACAAAGAATGTTTTCTAAATGTAGAGAGCCTTCTCCTAAAGTTCCCCCCTGAAAAGAAATATAGAAGAGGGTCAAAGCAACAATTTGATGCAGCTAGAGACAAGGTTACGACCACTGACTTCTGCATTCGAAGGACAGAATCACAAGGTTTAGTTTCATTGTGTAAAAAATGAAGGTGGATTGTGCGTTGAATATGATATGGCATGAAGCTGATTAAAAAGGCAGCTGTCACAACTATGATCATTCCTATAGCCTTTTTACGACTTGACAAATTTTTCTTCATAGAATTTTTTAGTAAGGTCAAAATGATCATCGTGTAGCAGACAATTATAATAACAAAAGGGATGATGAAGCCAATGAATAATGACACATAATGCAAAATCAAAACATGATTTTTGGCCTGATTGTCCTGAGGAGGCTCAAAACACTTTGTGTTGTTTTTTTCATCTTTGTAAGATTTGGCCATTAAAAATGGAGAACTAGTCAAAATAACAAAAATCCAAATGCCAACACACACAAACCTGGCTTTTTTCTGTGTAACCAAATTAATGTTTTGGACTGGGAAAACAATTGCAACACATCGGAAAAAGCTCATGGCTGTCATAAAGAAGATGCTACAGTAGAGGTTAACATATAGGGCATAGGTGCTGAGGCGGCACAAAAAGTCTCCGAAGAGCCAAATGCCTTTGTGAACATAATAGACCACACGGAGAGGCAATGTGCACACACACAGGAGATCTGCTACAGCTAAGTTAATCATATATACTTGAAAGGCTGATTTCTCATGATATGTTTTTATGAGGACGTAGAGCACAAAGCCATTGCCAAAGAAACCCACAACAGAGATCATAGAGTATAAGGTGGAATACACTTGATTGCGGAAGTCATCAATAGTGTCATGGCACGTGTTATTACTGGAAGAAGATACTGTCAAATTTCCAGCTCCATCCATGTTTCTCTAGGAATGTTTGCTTGGTGCCTACAACATATTAAAAAAAAACTTGTCAATTTTTACTAAACTTTAAATTATAGGAAGTATTACTGTTTTATTTCATAGTAGCAACATGTATACATTTTGACTGCAATAGGAAGCAAGTGTTATGAGGCAATGGAGAGAAATTTGGCTGTTTTCTGGCCCCAGGAGGAAGCTTTAGGTCTTACAAGCATTTAGAAGAACGTTTTTCTTCTTCTTTTGGTACCAGTGATTGAACCCAGGGGTACTTAACCACTGAGCCACATCTCCAGCCCCCCCCCCCCCCCCCCCCCCCCCCGCCCCAGTTTTTTTGTGGGAGGGCCTCACTAAATTGCTTATGGCCTTGCTAAATTGCCAGGCTGGCTTTGAGCTTGCAATCCTCCTGCCTCAGCCTCCTGAGCCACTGCTATTACAGGCATAAACCACCATGCCTGACTGAAGAAACTTTTTCTTAATTTCCTATCCATGTTTGCCTGATTGACTTCCTCTTAACCCTGAGATCTAGGTAAAATATTTCTTCCCTATTTTAAGTCAATCACTCTAGTACCATTCCATAAAGTTTCCTTTCAAGTAATTTATTAAATTTTGTAATTAAAGAAAAATTTGAGAAATTAATTTCACATATATGAATATCTATCAATTATCAAGGACTCTTTGAATTATGTTAAATAATAAAATACCACAATGAATCTCATCATTGTGTACATCCATAAGAAGTTAATTTAAAAAATAACTATGGGTAAATGACAGAAAGATCAGGAGAGGAAAGGGAGCAGGGAGGGGTGGGGAAGGGGAGGTTCTTGGGATTGAATTAAAGCAAATTATATTCCATGCTTTTATAACTATATCAAAATAAATTATATTGTCATGTATAACTTAAAAGAACCAATAAAAAAGAAAAGAATTGCTCAAACAAAAAAGAATAAGCTTGAATGAAAATACTTGATTCCCTCAAGAAGAGAGCTTCCTAGGTAACATCTGGTGAGTGCTGCTAATAACTTGGGAAATAATCTAATTTGTTAGTAGTGAAATTCACTTCTGTGGGAGAGATTCTTAATCTAGGACATGGATGACTTTATTTAGAACCACAAAATACCATGGCTGGAGAAAACATAGAGACCAACTAGTTATTTTGATAATGTGAAAAAAGTTCCAGAGAGGTGAAATACATTTATAAAATTTGTACCATAATTTAAGATTCTGAGTAGATATGTGATACAACTAGTGGGAATATATTGTTGGGTGAGGAAGTTGCTGTAGCTCTCCATCCTTTTTTTCTTCCTATACTTAAAGTCTTAATGTTTCGTTATATACAGTCAATTCTCTTACAACAAGAAATTGTTACTTGGTCTAAGTTCATCAGGGTAGTTAACAAGCTCTAACAATCTTGCAAAGATGTAGTAATTTCTTTAGTGTTACTACAAATTCTCTTATTTTTTATGAAAGTGAAACTGACACATCACTATGTAATATGGCAGATAATATTTGATCAAGGTCTGATTTATTGACCTTTCACACAGATCTTGCTCCCTGGTAAAACAGGGTTTGGTGATTGTAAGGTAGGAGGACTGCTTGAGCACACAAGAGCTGCCAGCGATCAACAGAGCCAATCATTTTTCCACATCAAGGATACAGAAATAGATAGCTATGTAAGTGGTTGCAGGTGGAATAAACTTCCCAGGCTTAATATGGCTAACAACATATTTGCTGTTGAGGATGTGTTACCAATGCATCTAGCCATTCTATCTAGTTGTTCTATTATTATTTGTCACCAAGAACTATTGGTAGAAGATTAAAAAATTGAAGAGGATTAGTTCTGATGCATAGAGAAAAATGAGACTACCATTCCCAATATCTGCATTATTTCTCAGTTTGATATCCAGTTACCTACCTCTTCTAACATTGGTTCTCCAAACTCAGGAACAGTTGTGAAAGGAAGGGAAACTGGCCAGAGTTAATCCAGTCTTTGATTAATCCTATTAAATATTTCCTCAAACTGGGCAATATTATGCTATGTGGCACTAGATGGTGCTGTTGAGATTTTTGATATAGCCTTCCCCCTTCGTTTTATTGAGTAAAATTGAGAAATAACTACTGCATATATTTGATATACAGGTGCAATGTGGTGTACAACATGATGACCTGATATCCTATACATTGTGAAATGATTACCACAAAGTTAATTAATACATCCATCACCTCATATACTTAACGTGTATGTGTGTGTGTGTGTGTGTGTGTGTGTGTGTGTGTGGTGAGAAAATATAAGATCTACTCTCTTTAAAAATTTCTTCTATTTAGGGCTGGGGTTGTGGCTCAGTGGCAGAGTGCTTGCCTTGCTCGTGTGAGGCTCTGGGTTCGATCCTCAGCACCACATAAAAATAAGTAAATAAAATAAAGATATTGTGTCCATCTACAACTAAAAATATTTTTTAAAACTTTCATGTATTTAATACAGTCTTAGTAACCATACTCAGCATGATATACATTAGATCTCCAGAACTTGATTCATCTTATAACTGAGAGTTTGTATCCCTTGATCAAGATCTCTGAAGCCCCTAGAAATCAGCCTTCTATCCTCTGCAACAGACTTTGAAAGAGGCACACTTGAAAGACATTAGATAATTGTCAACATCCCTTCCTACCACCATCAATCAATCTTCAAACTGTCTTGCTACAAAATCTTTCCTAAATAATTTTCTACACATTGGAGCTTCCAATTATGCCATTTTCTTCCTTTGAAATCTTTAATGCTAGTTACCTTGATTTAATCAGTATGTTCTGTATATATTTGTTGACTTATCATATTGGACCCCATTATTATATGAATCATTACATGTTAATTTTTAAAAGTCAGTGATTCCCAAGTGCCTTTGGAATAAAATCCAGACTTCTTAGCCTGATATTTAAGGCTCCTTATCGCTTGGCTGCAATTCATATTTTTCAGTTTCTCTCTTCTCCAAATTATAACTCTTATACTTCAAATGAATAATTGTTTTACTATATTAGGGGTGTGTGCTACAAGTTTTCCCATTTGGCTGTCTTTTTTCATGGTATTTTTTTTCTTTTGGAAATGTCCTTTTCTCCATCTATGCATGCGCGAAATCTATCCATCATTCACTTCAAATTAAACTTTCTTGATTATGCACTCCCTCAGCCTCCATCCATAGAAATTTCTATTCTTGTTGAACTTATAGGGATCTTTAAATATATTTGTATATCAAAGATTTGTGTAGATGTGTTATCTTCCTTCCCAGACTATCTGGCTGATAAGTAGATATCTTATACAGGGCTTAGTGCATATGTATCTTGTCCATAAGTATCATTAAGTGCTGAATGAATATGTCAATGATAGAGCAAGTTTATCATTTTAATGTATTATTTATCATTTGAAGTCTCTTAGAATTATCTTCTCATTCCAATGTAATTAAACACCTTTCCAGACTCAGAGCCTAAAGTTGTGTGTAAGTATAATTGCTTCATAAAGCATTAAAGAAGATAAATTAATTATAAGACTAGCTGTGAGGGTTAAAAACACCCATATCCTTGACATTGACTAATTATGTGCTTATTTGTTACATATTACAAACAAGTTTGAAAATCTCAGACATTTTAAAGAAAGATGCCCCCAAATGCTGATAAATAACAATTAAAATACACAATTGGATTATCTCTAGTTACACTAATAAGCTCATCATCCTTTATACACCAAAATAAGCTTTTCTATAAATTTCAGTATTATATTCAATTGTTAATTTATAAACATATCAACTCAATAATTTATATTAAGCCATAAAAAGATGATAAAACTTTCAAACAAGTGGTGAATTCTGTAGGAGATGACATCATGTAATCTAAGTCAATCGTTTCACAGATGATGGTTTTGCTTCTCCAAAGTAGCATTTAATCAACTTTTATAAATTTATATGATATACCAATGATTTGACCCTACTAGATGGATACAGTGAATTCATTTGGAAATCTAAAATGTGTAAGAATCCATCCTTGCCTTAAAACACTTCATAGTTAGGAAAGGGAGGAGTAATAGCTTAGAAGTGTAGAGAGGTCACCCTATGGTATAATAAGAGTCATATTAGCACAAAGCAAATAAGTCATTTGTTGATAAATGAAGGCAAGCAAGAGACATAAATGGAATTGATATATTGTATAGATAATGAAGGAAGTTATTTTTATAAGATAATTACAAGTTTAAAAAGCAAGGTTCATTTTGAAAATGGAAACCATACCTCTTTCTGGAACTGCAGTACTCTTCACAAATATTCCTTCTTATGATGGTCAGTTCTTCTTTGGAATGTCAAAGTATGCCCAAGCTGAAATAATAAGATTGAAAAGAAAGTTAATGGCCACAGAAGTAGTCTAGAAGGTCATGGGAACTTAGCAGCATTAAGTACAGATCCATAATGTGTGGTGGAACATCAAAGCTTTACTGACAGATTTAGGGCTTGTCATTGGATTCCATGACCTTCTTTTCCCTCCATTCATTTTTACACTCCCAGTGGAGGAACTTAGAATACAGTCTGTGGTCACAGATGTTTGCTGCCATGAGCATATGACTTCTCTTCATAAAGTTGAACACAGTATTAGATAATATTCCATTTTTTTTCTATGAAACCATGATGTTTCCCTTATTTTTCTCTTACAGACATTTCATTATAAGGTTCAAATGGGAAATGACTTGCAAATTCTTTTCAAAGGATCTAGTTTTTTAGGCATAGAAATTAGAAAATTGGAAATATCAAGTTTGTCTGCCTGGGACGGCTTAAGTGTAGTTTTCTTTGAAGGAAGGATGGCTTAAAGGTCCTTGGATTCTTCTCCCTATAATATCATGATGGTATTTATTGTTTTATCTATTATTTGGCACATATACATTCAGAGATAAGCTGTTTTGCAACCATGTATAGTTAACTTATTTTTTTTTCCTTTGGAACTTGGAATTCAACTCAGTGTTTTGTACTTGCTAGGAAAGTGCTCTACCACTGACTTACACAACAACTTTTTTTTGTTTTATTTTGATACAGGATCTCACTAAGTTGCTGAGGCTGCCCTGAAACTTGTGATTCCCCTGAGAATCTGAGATTGCGGTCATGGATCACCACATATGGCATATACACAATTTTTAATGAGTATATATCTGTTCAATTAAATTCTATCTGACAATATAACAAAGTGTAACAGATTTCCAAGTAATGAACAGAGAATGGTTTTATTGAAAATGAAGCAGCCTGAATTGCTTTCTTTCAAAATTTTTTCTTTTTGTTCTATGAAAACTTTCATTCCTGCCTGTAAGGTCTTTAGAGGCTAGCCATTTTCCCTTTATGTGTGGTCCCAATGCCACCAAAATAAACATCTTCCTCCAGTTTATTCTTAGCAAGTAGAAACAGGTTTGGACTTTCCAAAGGAGGTCAACTGGGGAAAAATGAAAACCAAATTAAAATGAAGGAAATTAAAAAAATATAAAACATAGTCTAGTTTTAAAAAATAGAAACCTGGATCCACAGCTACAATACTGCATTTGAATCTACCTTCTACTCAATCATTTTTTTCAGAACTTCTCCAATATCTTTTCCYTTTTCAAATTGTCTGCTCTTCAGGTAAGAAGTTCATATAGGCAACCTATGATAGTCTGGGGAAAGTGTGGGTTGCAGGTGGAGAATTATTCAGAGTTGCTTTTATATTTGGTTAATCAGGCAGTGAACTTTATAGTTCACTTAGTTTTTCCAAGTCTCTATATATTAATGAAGATATACTGACCAAATATTGAATATATAAAAATCCTTTCTGATCATAAAATTATATGATTCTACTCATCTAATCAGTGAAGAATATTATCTTCACCTCTGTTGTAGTTTTTTGTTGGTTTATTTGTTTAGACAAGCTTGTACTTCTCCTACAAATTTTCCACCAATCCTATTGTCTTTATCCATGCAAGAATAGGAAAGAAAGTTTATGAATTTCTATGGGAACTATACTACCAGCCAAATGCTCTAACTATCCTTTTCCATGGTAATTGTGTAATTATAGTTTAGCCCAATCTCTATATGCACAAATGAATAAATACCACATTTTCTGGGCAACAGTGTAGTGTTTCTTCAAGTTTGGGATTATGAGGGGTGTTTTGTGGTTCCTTTAGGAATTTTTAGCTATGTACATAGTAAGTGCTCAATATTTTCACCCCTACCGAGGACTGTTGTTTCTGACAGGAGCTACTGCCACTATTGGATACTATCATTCATATCTGGGTGGTTGGGTGGGTGGAAGTGATGAAGTATGGATATATAGTTTTGATTTCAATGGTTTAATCCAGGAGTTACTAAAATCATTTATTTGACTCATGTTAAGTCCAATTTATTTCAGGTCAATAAATATTTATGGAATCCATATTTTTGTACAAAAGAGGATACTCTCTCTCCCTCAGCCCTTCTAAACCATTGTTTAAATAAGAGAGGCTGGAGATATAAGGATATAAGGTCCAAACTCATCATATCCATCATAACTCTTGCTGCTGCAACAGAATTACATATGAACAAGAATTTGTTACAAATTACTGTGCTAAATGTGCTTCAGAAAGAAGGGGTGATTCACAAGTGTACCCAAGTAGTCCTCAGGTTTATATCTTCTACTAAATGAAATGGTAATAGTGCCTCTTCTTTGTTTGTAGTCAAACCAAAAGCCATTCTTGATCTTCTCAATCCAATGTTATGTTTCTTTCCTTTGAAGTCTTATAGTATTTTGTTTGTGCCTTTCTTTCTTTATTTTTTTGAGGGGGGGTACCAGGGATTGAACTCAGGGGCACTCAACCACTAATCCACATCCCCAGCCCTATTTTTTTGTATTTTATTTATAGACAGGGTCTCATTGAGTTGCTAAGTGCCTCACTTTTGCTGAGGCTGGCTTTGAACTCATGATCCTCCTGCCTCAGCCTCCAGAGCTGCTGGGATTGCAGGTATGTGCCATTGTGCCTGACTTGTTTGTGTCTTTCTTGATACTTTTCATTTATTTGCTTTGTTGTAGTCATCTCTGTGGTCATTGAGTTGAGGTTATGCATTATTCTCATCCTGGTCTCACTAGAACAAAGGACAATAAACAGTTGTCCTTTTTGTGTTTACTGCTGTACATAGTATAGTGCCTTTAAATATTGGGTTGATTCAAATTAATCTACTTTCTGTATCATTTCCTTGATGTCTTATCAAAATTAAAGAGAATTCTTGCATGGATAAAGACAATAGGATTGGTGGAAAATTTGTAGGACTGATAGGCAGAAAACATGAATCATGCCTTAGGTTTCTGGTGGATGATTAATAAAGTGATCTTGGGCAAATCACTTTCTCTCTGTTATCTCTTCACTTATCTGTAATACAATAGGGTTAGATTATATGATCTGTTGAGTCCATGTTAGTTTACCACTTGCAAATCTATAAAGATTAAGGTATTCATTTTTCTTGAGGGAAGTAGGATAAGTGTTCTACAGCTTCAAAAAGAGGAACACAAGATTGTTTAGGACTGCTCGTTGTTCCCTGAGTTTCTCTCAGAAAAACATCTGTGGGAAAGACTCAATTCCTCTTTAACTATATCAACTATATTCAAGATACCATTTTTTTAATCTTCATTTTATTCTTATATAGTGCTGAGGATTAAACCCAGGGCCTCACACGTGCTAGGCAAGCGCTCTACCACTGAGCTACAGTCCTAGCCCCTCAAGACACCATTTTGGTCAGGCCCTCTAAAGGCAGGACAATAGTTCTAGATTTGCCATTGGTTTGTAAACTAAGTGCTAGTTTTATGATTTAAAGTTGCTCCACTTGCCAGGGCTCACAAGTCCTTCTCCCTGGCCTTATCCCTTTTGCAAATTATATTTCTGGTTCTGACAGTAGGACCACATACTTCAGGTTTTCTAAAATAGAAAATCCTGAAGCCATCTTTGTCAGTTCATTTTTATCATCTCTTCTATGAGGTGCCCATCCTGTCTGATCATATGGCTTCAGGATTCTAGGATTAATAATCTGTTCATTCAGGTTTTCATAAAAATGCCCCAAATCTATTCTTCAGGGTTTCTAACAGGACTTGATTTCTGAGAAAATATATCTTATCCTTAACATGCACAGTTTTTGTTTTTGGACCCTGAATAACCTAGACAAACTAGTCCTTTTTTAACACAAGTAAAAAAGATTTGAAATTTGTTTTACACCTTGAAACTGGTAATATTAAAGTACCCAAATTTAGTTTAAGACAGCTATTCCTCTTGTGTATTTTTGGAAAATTTATCACAGTTTTCTGGGAACCAAACTCCAGAATTAAGATCATCTATTGAGATCATTTTAGAATTCAAATACTTGAAAGGAAACAAACTACAACCCTGTCTCTGCTGATGAGAGTCTTTAGTGATATATCTTCAAGTTAGGTTGTCATGCCTTGTCAGGCATATTTGAATACCTTCCAATATATTACTTAAAACAAAAATGTCTTTTGGATCAGATAAATAACATCAAAATAAATATTTACTTGCTTAAACGTGAATCCTAGAAATTATTTATCTTGCTTAATTGAAACTTTATGACTGTTGATTTATAGCTCTTCTTTCCCACCCTCCCAGCATTTGGCAACTACATTCTACTCTTTGATTTTATGAATTTGACTAGTTTAGGTACTTCATGTAAGTGGAATAATGCATTATTTGTCTCTCTGTGACTAGCTTATTTTGCTTAGCATGATGTCCTTAGTACTCATTCATGTTTTTGCACCTTACAGAATTTCCTTTTTTTTTCCTCCACATTTTTATAGGTATATTACAGTTTTACATACCAATAGAATTTGCTATTACATATATGTACATGCACACAATTTAACAATATAATTTGGTCAGTATCTGAATTTCCTTCTTTTTAAAGGCTGAATTATATTTCATTTTGTGGACAAACCACCTTTTCTTGATCCACTCATCTGTCAGTGGGCAAATAGGTTTTTAGCTTTATTCTATACCATCTCTTATGTATAACAAGTTCCCTGGTTGGTAAACAAAGACTTCTTATTTTAGTTATACAAACTACTTCTCCTTTAAGAAAGGAGGAAAAACTCAGTTTAATTTTCTGCTGAGGCAAGGATAATATGGATATAATGGCAAAAACAAAACAGCTTTTGAGCCAGGATGGGTCTGAGTTTGAGTTATAGTAGAATCTATACTTAGGTGGTTGACCTTAGGCAAGTTACTTAACATGTCTGATACTCAGTTTTCTCATGTATAAGATGAAGTTAATGAAGCAGGCCAAATTACTGAAGAAACTGAGAATGTAGGCATGTTTTTGCAGTGTTGAAA